CAATAATTGTTTACTGACTTGGTTTTTTAACATTTCATATTTTTACTACCATGGATTTATTTTGTTTAAATGTTTTCCATTTGGACTTTTATTTGGACTTTTTAAATATTTACCCATGGATATACCTTGAAAAATTTCTTTTAGGCCGTAGGATGAGCATCCAAAAGATGCAATTCCGTTGCACCCCTCGTGGAACTACGTAATTTTCGCATGAATCAATAGATAAAAACTTACTTTATCAGAATCCGTTGCTCCCCAAGCGAAACAGGTGCACAATTAGGAAAAATATTCCTCCAAAGTTTGATATTTTCCCGCTACAAAATATTCGAATCGCCATTGTTTTGGTAGCAAATACACATGCGTGTTTCAGCCAAACTGGCACTGCGCACGCGCAGACAGGAAAAATGGATTTTCCCTATGGGTTTTCCCCGATTCCCCCCGTAAAAACAACAAAATAAAATCACGGAATAGAGATCAAACCTTGTAATATTAACGAATAAATAATACACACAAATTAAATATTGTTTAAAACACCTTCTTGTACATTTTTCTTGCTCATCTGCTAAATAACTTCAATTCATTGGCTATTGTTTCAAAATACGGTTATAATGTTTAATTCTACTTATTAACATCCTAATTCAATACAAATTTGTGTGAGGCAAAAACCCACCTGTATCAAACAGGACGCAGAATATATAATTATACATACAATTCACACGATCAAGGAATAAATTAAATATGTCGCTAAACTAAAGCCTTGACCAAACGTAGGGAACATTGTCGCGGAAATATTCGTAATTTGTTTCAAATGTTTTCCTGTCTCCCATATCTGGAAACATTAGCTTTTATTGCAAAAACTAAAGTTGCTTCCCGGGAAGCAAAAATATTTCCTACCAAATTCAGAAACATTTGATCAAACACTCTTTCCCCGTTTGCCGACGCTGATATAAAGACAATATGACATACAGAAACATTAGTAAGACAAATATAAATATGACAAATATCTTTGCGCAACAATATTTCCCAGTTTGTCCCGGGCTTTAAGGGATATTTATATAAACTTCTAGGAAAACCTTTGATTGAGTCTTTAATGTATTATTGAATAACTATCAACTATGCAAGATATGTTTGGCGCGTAATATATGTTCTATAGATTTCAATCTTGGATTTGGACCAACTTTTCCATGGTTCCAATCATCTTTTCCATGGTTCCAATCATCTTTCCCAACCGACGAAACCGGACTGCACCAGTGAAGGACGTTTAACTGTGAAAGAAACATCTCCCAGGCACCAACTCGAACTTCATCATAAAAAAAGATAGATTGGGAGGAAATATAAAATCCATAATTTTACCATAACTATCTATAACTGAAAGAAATGTTTTCATCCTTGAGCCCAGATTTTCATCAGTGCAATAAAATCCCACTTTTTGGATCCTGGGCAAGTGCCTACGCTCAAAACGAGATTGCATGTATCCTACAATAAGCTGTCCTGGCTTTTGTCTGGTAAAGTTCTACTATATATTATATTGTGACATAAAGTTGGTATTTAGCTACTATCTAGAATAACAAGGAACGATTCAACCTGGCTTTTCGTGCACATAGTAGTTGACTTTTTCTTTTAGATTTGCTACTGCGCCAGGGTGCGTTTAAGGTGGCTCGCTACAGTTTATAGAAATGTTGAAAATGCGTAAAGTGGATCACCTTTTTGAAGAGATGATGCTCTTTACAAATCGAAATTTGTATATTATATATACAGCGACAATCAAACAGTCGAAAATGGCTCAGAAAAGTGACGTCACCACTGTTGCTATGGCAACAATGACGATTCAAGATGGCCGATATTTTGGCTTTCAACGCATTTTACTTTAAAAAAAGGTCGGTTACCCCCATTTTTTATTTCAGAAAACATTTTCTTATAGTACAATGCACTATCTGACCAATTTTAAAAAAATTCTGTAATGCAAAAAAAAATTATTTCGAAAAACCAGGTTTATAATTTTTTTTAAAATTTGGCATTACAGAATTTTTTAAAAATTTGTCAGGTAGTGTATTGTACTATAAGAAAATGTTTTCTGAAATAAAAAATGGGGGTAACCGACCTGTTTTTTAAAGTAAAATGCGTTCAAAGCCAAAATATCGGCCATCTTGAATCGTCATTGTTGCCATAGCAACAGTGGTGACGTCACTTTTCTGACCAATTTTCGACTGTTTGATCGTCGCTGTATATATAATATACAAATTTCGATTTGTAAAGAGCATCATCTCTTCAAAAAGGTGATCTAGTTTACGCATTTTCAACATTTCTATAAACTGTAGCGAGCCACCTTAAGCTCCCCACCAGGGTGCGTTTCAGCTTCTCAGCCATGACCACACATTAACCTTGTCCACTGTGGATCCGAATGAAAATATCGAATGAGTAAATAAATACTGATCTACTGCACTGCGCAGATAATACCTACGTGCATTACCATCATTGTTCTTCAAATATGCCATCGAATCCAGTGTCATCGCCATCAAGTTCGAATAATAAGCCACCATCATTGTCATCACCTGACAAATTGTTCTCGTCTGTATTCTGGTCGGAGAAATTTGTGCACTCGCAACAGGAACAAAGACCAGTACACTTTAAATCTGCTTTTTGACAGGCACAACGTCTTGTTGAACATCCAACCTCGTACGAGGTTGTTGAACATTCAGACTTACAACCACAGTTAACGTTTCCAGAATTCCATCATGAGCTGTCGGCATGATCATCCATCTGATAATGACTTGCCCTTGGTTTACTTCCCAACCAAACTCGCTGATCTAAGGGGGTGACATAACTGGTTGGAGTGCACCTTTTCATATGCGGCATTGATATGATGCATGATCGATTTGTATGAACTAAAAGAACATCAACAAAACGTTGTGCCTGCGAAAAAGAATAATTGAAGTGTACTGATCTTTGTTCCTGCCTCCTGGTATATTTGAAGAACAGTGATGGTAATGCACGTAGGTATTATCTGCGCAATGCAGTAGATCAGTATTTATTTACTCATTCGATATTCTCATTCGGATTCACATGCAGTACTTATATTATAAACACGTATATCCCTCTCATGGACAGGGTTAACAGTATGGTCATGGTTGAGAAACTGAAACGCACCCTGTGGAGAAACTGAGACCCACCCTGGCGCAGTAGCAGATCTATAAGAACAAGTCAACTAGTGCATGTGGGCACAAAAAACCAGGTTGAATCATACCTTGTTATTCTAAATGTCACACTATATTATATAGTAGAACTTTACCAGACAGAAACCAGGACATCTTATTGTAGAATACATGCAATCTCGTTTTGAGCGCAGGCCCTTGGCGAAGATCCAATAAGTGGGATTTTATTGCATTGACAAAAATCTGGGCTCAAGGGTGAAAATATTTCTTTACACCAACACAGAAAAATCATGATTGTTATTAGATAACATTGATATCGAAGGAACTAGATTCTGTTCCGAAATATCACATACTCGAACCGACCAGACCGCGTAGCTCAGTTGGCAGAGTATTGGCCTAGTATTCCAAAGGTCGTAGGTTCGATTCCCACCGTGGTCAGACATATTTTTCAAGCTTGCCCAGTGTGGATATACACTCAGAGTAACATCACAAGCATTAGTTATAGATAGTTATGATGAAATTATTGATTTTATATTTCCTCCCAATTTATCTTTTTTCATGATGAAGTTTGACTGGGGTTGGTGCCTGGGAGATGTTTCTTTCACAGTTAAACGTCCTTCACTGGTGCAGTCCGGTTTCATCTGTTGGAAAAGATCGTTGGAACGAATGGAAAAGTTGGTCCAAATCTAAGATTGGTATCCATAGAATATACTTTTAAAAGCGATGGATGAAACGCACAATTTAAGAAGCGCCAAACATTGGCAAACATATATTACATATTATTCAATACATTAATGATTCAATCAGAGGTTTTCCTAGGAGTTTATATAAATATCCCTTAAAGCCCGGGCAGGGGCCGCGGAACCGGGGAGGGAATGGGGGCATCTGCCCCCCCCCCACTTTTTTAAAAGTGAAAAAAGTGCCCTTTTGGGGGGCTAAAGTGCCCCATTTACAGAACGAAAAAGTATTTCTTGAATGAACGCACACTTTTGCTGGAAAGAAAGTGCCCTTTTTGCAGTAGTAAAGACTCTGTAAAGGCCATTTCCGACGTTATAGAGATTCCATATTTTCAAAAACTTTCGTTCGGCTTGTAAACAACATAAAATCGTTTGATTTTGGTCATATACAAAAGTGCCCCTTTTGGCCAATGCCCCTTCACTTTCGAAATGCTTCCGCGGCCTCTGAGCCCGGGACAAACTGGGAAACATTGTTGCGCAAGAAATTTGTTATATTTATATTTGTCTTACTAATGTTTCGGTATGTGTTTTGCCAGCGTCGGCAAACGGAGAAATAGTGTTTCATCAAATGTTTCTGAATTTGGTAGGAAATATTTTTGCTCTCCGGGAAGCAACTTTTGTTCTGCATTAAAAGCCAATGTTTCCAGATATGGGATACAGGGAAACATTCGAGCAAACATTGAAAATCACAAACTGATTTCCGCGACAATGCCCGTAAGTTTGGCCAAAAGGCTTTAATAGTTAAGCAAAATATTTAATTTGTTTCTTGATCGTGTGAATTGTATGTATATATTTATATATTCTCCGTCCTGTTTGATACAGGTGGGTTTTTACCTCACACAAATTTGTATTGAATTAGGATGTTAATAAGTAGAATTAAACATTATAACCGTATTTTGAAACAATAGCCAGTTATTTAGCAGATGAGCAAGAAAAATGTACAAAAAGGTGTTTCAAACGATATTTAATTTGTGTATTATTTATTCGTTAATATTACAAGGTTTGAGCTCTATTCCGTGATTTTATTTTGTTGTTTTTTACGGGGGAAATCGGGGAAAACCCACAGGGAAAATCCATTTTTCCTGTCTGCGCGTGCGCAGTGCGAGTTTGGCTGAAACACGCATGCGTATTTGCTACCAAAACAATGGCGGTTCGAATATTTCGTAGCGGGAAAATATCAAACTTTGGAGGAATATTTTTCCCAATTGTGCACCTGTTTCGCTTGGGGAGCAACGGATTCTGATAAAGTAAGTTTTTATCTATTGATTCATGCGAAAATTACGTAGTTCCACGAGGGGTGCAACGGAATTGCATCTTTTGGATGCTCATCCTACGGCCTAAAAGGATGCTCTGTCGACGAGAGAGCCTTACAGCCAAATATCAACGACGACGAATTCGTCAAGGGCTTTTTCTTCCCACACTGCAGATATCCACCACTTGGTTATGTGCGGGTTGTTTTTTCATTTCAAAGTGGGAATCTTGGCCTCCGTTATTCGGACAAAATTCGTGGCGATCATCGTGGTGCGTTGTTAACATGATGATACTGACGTGTTTCTTTCTGATGCAAATTCCACACACGACCATAGACATGAGCGCTACGAGCGACACCAAACACACCACGACGATAAAAACGGCTTTGTGAAGTCCAAAATATGATGGATCATTGGAAGATACGGTTGGTGGCGCTAAAATGAAAATTAAAGTGAGGAGTTTTATCAAATCCTACTTTAATTAAGCAAAAATTATTTTGGTAAAATCTCATCATGTGGCATGGTATGAGAACATTCGTTATGAGTCTAATTTTCCAGTTTCTTCAAGATTATTGGCCTTATTAAAGAGTCATATGCTACTTAAATATAGAGGATCTAGAGCTGGAAAAAAACAGCGAATTCGCCAAATTTTTGTTCAGGCTGGTCATAGAATATCGCACAAAAGGAATTATAATCGGTATGCAGATTTTACTAATCTCACCCATATTCACTGTCTACCATTATCTAAAGTTAACAGTCAAAAACCGGCGGTGGAATCTATGACAATGGCATATGTAAACTGTCGTTCGATAAATAGAAATGGGTTTAAGCTAAAAGATTGTGTTGTTGATAATGACTATGATTTAATAGGTATTACTGAAACGTGGCTGCCAATTGAACAATCCTTATCGAACCATA